GGCGTTCGCGCGGTACGAACTGGTCGATGCATCTGAAGAGGGACTCGCTGCCGATATGGTAGCAAAACGTGTGGAGCGCCTCACGGCTAGCCTGGAGGCCTCGCTATCTAAGCTGGAGAGGTTAACGATCGGTCTATAACGGCAAATTTGTACACGGCACTTCCTTTCTTTTGTTTGATATTGACTGTTTAAATACTTAAGACGAGGGTCAACTCGAGTTTGGCGTTGGGGATATCTGCATTATCACAAGAAAAGGCCTGGGCGGAGACAATCGAGAGAATCGCTTTGCATCACTGCGGCGGATGCGACACGGTATTTACCAACTGTTACTTTTTATTTTGTCTTGATTTTTGGATATACTACTAGGGGTCGAATGGTTACTTGGGAATAAGGGTTGATAAAGAGATTTAAGTCCTGGAGACAGCACAGCTCGGAGCGCGTTACTAGGTAACTATGTAGTCCGGCTGAGGTTGTAATCTATAGAATAGTTGGCCTACTGGCGGCTTATGAATTCACCAGATTTGGCGCATCATCACGAGTCTCATGCTTCTGAACTGAGTCATCGCAAACTTCCCATAGCGGGAACCAATATGCTAATGAGATCGGAGCGTTGTGACTTGTTCGTCGCAAGAGTAAGAATCGCGTCCTAGTTGTCATGTAATAAGGATGATTGGCATACCACTGTACACTAATTCCGCGCGACTCGGTCTAGTCCTTGAGGATATCGTTCCCATTTGCCAGTTTTCAGTTTTCCTAATGGGAAGAAGGCTTCAGGCTATTATATAGACTATGACCATCACATTGTTGAGTTTCGACGCCATTACTTCTTCCCAAGTAAATAAACAGCTCGTTGATCATTACTCCCTTGCGTTAAGTAGAGAATAGAATGGGACCCGGACCCGCGACCGCGACCCTCTTCTACACATGGCAGATGGGTACTACTGTGCCGCAGCTTAACACCTACCACCTAACACCTAATACCTATCACACCTATTTATCTCCCTGAGTGATAAAATGAGTGAAGATGGGATTTGCTCTGTGATGACATCATCTATCCTCTGTGACTGCTCAATGGCAATGCCCATTTTAATCCCATCCATCCCCGGTTCAACGGGATCATATAAGCCCGCTGCTTACCTCCTAGGCTCCGGGACTTTGCCTACCTGACCGGGGGGGGGGGGGGGGGGGGGGGGGGGGGGGGGGGGGGGGGGGGGG